GTGCCCAAAAGATGTGAGCGTCTACCTATTACGGCTCGTGATACTGTACGTCTGATTCGCGATCGAATCCAGGTTCGACAAGGACGACAAGCAGCAAAGCCAGAAACTCGACGAGATGGATCTTGACGAGATCTTGACTCGTGCTGAAGACCACGAGACAACAATGGAAGGGGGCGATGGTGGAACCTCTCTGGGAGGTGAAGGTTTCTTGGCTCAGTTTGCCGCTGTTAGCGATGTCAAGAACGACATGAACTGGGAAGACATTATACCGCTAGAAGAACGGCAAAAATTTGACAAGGAAGAGGATAAGAGAAAGGCTGAGGAGGCTGCGGAAGAGTTGCGGGATCGGAAGCGGAATACGGCACCTGTTTCGTATGAGGGCATGGATGTGGATCAGCCTCAAGCTCCATCAGCGCCCAAGAAAGCGAAGGCACCTACTGTGCAGAGGAAGTCGGCGAGTCAAAAGGCTATGGAGTTGAAGGAGCGTGACGTCCGCGTGCTCATTCGAAGTATGCAGCGGTGGGGAGACATCCGGCAACGATACGATGTCATTGTGAGTTTCAGTAATGAAGTGTTCCTTCTGTTAGATTAACTGTGTTTATCGTGATAGGTCACCGAGGCCAAACTGCAAGACAAGAACAGGGCGATGATTCTCGACGTTGCGGACGAGATCATTGATATATGCGCCAAGGCAGTCAGAGAGCATGAGGACCAGAAGCGATCCAAGCAGGCGCAAGGCGAAACTCTCAGCAACGCACAGAAGAGCAAAGCCATATTAGTCACTTGTCGAGGCGTCAACAACGTCAACGCCGAAACGGTCCTCTCGCGGAATACTGATCTCCGTATATTGTACGAAACTCTTTCGCAACTTGAAGATGTCTACAAATGGTCGATACCGGTCGAGAATATCCGTCCGACTCTCAACTGGTCGGGGCGATGGGGTCCTCAGGATGACGCAATGTTGCTTGTGGGGGCCTACCTCTACGGATTCGGCAACTGGGAGCAGATGCAGAAGGATGATAAGCTTGGCCTCGACGGCAAGTTCTTCCTTGAAGAAGGGAAGAAAGGAGAGGATTCTGCGAGCCGCCCTATACCGAACGCCATTCACCTGGTGAGGAGAGGCGATTTCCTGTTAGGCTTACTACGGGAACATGATGAGAAGGTCAAATCGTACGAGAGCGCTATCACGAAAGACCACCAGCCATCCTCACGTCACAGTAAAAGCTACAAGAGGTCGACATCACCCCCTCTTCCCGCTGCCTCGTCTTCTCATGTCAGCAGCATCCGACGGCGGGCTGAGATGGAAGCTGTGGCTTCTGTCGATGATCCCAGTTCTCGCAAACGAAAGCGGCGACCGACACCCACGTTCACTGACTCTGAATCCTCGGATGAATGGTAAAAACATCATTTCTCGCAAGCACGCCGGTTCTGACTATCTCCCTCCAGTCCGTCAATGGATGAAGGTTCTACCAAAGAAGAGTTGCGGCCAGTCAAGAAACAGCTGAAACAACTCAAATTGTCCGGCGAGGACATGCCAAGAGACGACAAGGTTGCAATTCTCAAGGACTCGCTGGCTGCGATTGGCCGTCGCATCGAGGCTGTCCTCCAGGCCAAACAAGCAGCGGGTGAAGATCGAGAACGCTGGAGACGGCATTTGTGGACGTAAGTGACCTTCTTCACGCCGGTGAACCACTGAAGTTGAGCTACTGTCCACAGATTTGTGACGCTCTTCTGGCCGAAGAAGGTTAAAGCCTCGAAATTAGAGGAAATTCATGCGAAGATGGTGATGAAAGAAGCTGCACCGAACAACAGAGCGAGTGCAGAATCGATGAAAAAACCACGACTCAGCGGTTCAAGTGCGAAGACCAATGGCTCTCATGCAGGACCAAGTCGGACGAACGGCAAATCTCACGGACGGTAGCATACTACTGGGTAGTGTTCCTATGTTCCGTATCTCTTGTGCTCTCCTTGTTTCGTTTCGTTGAGCTTACTCCTTCTGTTGTCGATATTAACATTATTTTCTTGTGTTCCTCTGTATTTTTTGATGTAGAAAGTATGTAGCTTCCAAATTGCTTGATTGAACCACAATATACCTCAACTTCTTGTCTTCAAATATGCGAGTGATTGTTGTACTCCATTTGAATATCACGAGCAGGAGAGTATCATATAAATTCAGTGTATATACGAAGTCCTAATGCCAGCCTCTCATCCTTGCCACCTGTTCCAAAACATAGTCACCTGTACCACTACTTGTGATCCTCGCTACCCCCGAGGCATCATCCAGGTCTACATACTCCTTCCACTTCTCCAGTTCAACATGTTCGAGATTCAGCGACCGTGCAACGTTTGACAAGTAACTCAAATCAGTCGACAACTGTGCCGTACCAGACGTGGACAACCGCTTGATCTGAGGTAGAACATCAGATGTCAGATGGGTCAGCAGTGACTGTCCGATGGACGACAGCCAGGCCGAAGATATGGTGTCGGGGTCGATGGCCTGAGGTTTGGGATTGGGTATGATGAATGACTGTCGACGCGGGTTACTGCTCTGTGAGACTACGTCCGGAACAGGGACGTCTTGTGCGGGATAGTTTTTGAGAACTTCGGGGTCGACGTTTGGAAGCGTGTGTAGAGAGAACGCCAACGCATCGTCGTCGCCGTGAAGCTCAAACACCTGGGGAAGGTTGAGAAGGCCCTCTGTCACGCGCGATATGGTGTCGCTGGGCGAAAGTGAGAATGTTGGGACGTGGAGTTCGTGTGATGCTTTTGTTTTCGCGTCTGATTGGACCATCCATGAGGAGGACGCATACGAATCGAGGGATTTTCGGAGGGGAGAGGATATTGTGGTTTCGAGGGATACCTGGCATGCCCTGGCAAAACCAAAGACCGCTGTTCGAGCTTCTGTCAGTAACAGTGCATCTCCTGGATGGCGAACATCGGAATCCACTCGTTCAAGCAACGCGTGAAGTTCAGCCGAGTTGAGCGTGGACTGCTCAAGTAGCTGACCAACACCTTTGGATGGCGTCAAAGGAAAGTTTGTTGGGTCCCCGTGGTACATCTTGAACTTCAGCGAAGTCTGAGACAACTGCGAGCGCAGTTTGATCTCGAAAGAAGACATCCTCTCGAAGATGTTCCTAGCTGAACCTAGCAGATGCAAGGTAGTCTGGAACTTTGTCCAGTCCTCCGAAGTGTAATCGAGTCCCGACAAGTCTTCCGAAGCTTGCATGGACGTTTCCGAAGCAGATGTATAACTGATATCGGCCGTCCACATATCGACGAAGGATTTGAGAAACCCGTCGAGAGCTTGCACTACACCGAGGGCGCCATAACCATGGGTAAAGGCAGTATACCTTGTCAAGCTCTGCTCGGCCGCGCTGAAGATGTCGATAGCTCGCTCACGAATCATGCGAGCTTGATCCTGGGTAGCAAACCTCTCCGAGCCCTCACTGGAGATGATCTCACGCAAGCTGTCGTCCAACAGACGACGCTCGAGAGTGATATAGTCCACCTGATATTCGAGGAATGGTTGGAATAATTCCTGATCCCAATCCAATCCGTCCAGGACGTTGGCGATCTTTGGTATTCCGCCGGACGTCGACCTTGTTGCCCCAGAGCGGAACGACACGGACATTCTCATCGAGCGCCTCCTGCTGTGCCCAGAATGTGATGGAGTGATGGGGGTCGTAGGCGGGGCATCGTTCGTATCGGCGGGGGGTGACGCGACGGAAAAGTGGATCTTTTGCATGATCTTGTCGACATCGCCCGCGAAGTCCTCCGTGATGCGGAAGACATTGATTAGCTCTTTGAGGGCTGAATCCCCATAATGAGAGAATATCGACTCGAGTCGTTGGGAGAAGGTTGGATGGAGGGAGGAGAAGATGGATGACATGAGAGAGGACAGTGATAGTGCTGGGTCGGGAAATATGGAAGGTATAGAGATCCTCTCCTGGTTGAGGAGCGTCAACATGGCAGCGTAGAACCTGGTGAGGAATTCACTGAATGTTTGGCCCTGCCCGTTCGTCGTGTCTGCGCCGCCACAATCCGACAGTTGCGCCTGTTCCCACACCGATACTATGGATGCTCTCCGCGACCCATTGTAGTAATTCCGGAATTCCTGTTCTCGTTGGATATTGGAGAATATCGAGAAGAAGTTTCGGCAGGTATTCATATCCTGCTCGTTGATAGCAGCAACTAAGGCCGAGCTGAGAGAGGCTTCCAGCTGGTTCTGCAGGTTGACCAACAATGTTCTGCGTGGATCGTATTCTGGAGTATTTTGGAATACAACCATGCTCTTGTTGGCCTCCGATAGCCTTGCAGCAGCTTTGGCATAGTTCTGTTCTGTCAAGTAGGATGTGACCTCCATCTCCAGTGTGCTCCAGCTCTCTGCCTCTCTCAAAACCTCTCTAGCTGCCTCCATGTGTCCTTTGATTGTATCCAGCCGCTTCAACTGCTCCAGGGCTTCGTTAGTTTCCTTGGGAATGGCTCCTCTGGATCGTTCGTGTACAACATTGAGCGAAGTTTGGAGAGTAAGCGCGCCGTCCTTTATGAAGTGGAGATCGTATGTGAGACGAGGTACACCGCGTGAAACGTCGTCGATTATGCGTTCGAGCTGAGACGACGTGTCCTCACAAGCAATGTCAAGGGATGCGATGAGATGAGTAATTTGTTGGTCGAGCTGAGAGAGATTTTCGAGAGCGTCGGGAGATTTCTCTTGAGATTCATTACTTTGAGAAGGCGTGAGTATGTCGTTGATCCAGGCCGTGAGGTCGTCGTATTCCTCCAAGCTTGTGAGGCTGGAGTCCGTGGTCGCGGTGAGCGACATGATTTGATTTATAGTAAGCGCCCAAGCGCATGTGCAAATTCATGACGGGCTCTGACGCTTACGGGTACCCAGTTCAAAGTTGCATCCCGTCCAAAGGCCTTCAACCTTGCAATCGAGCGTGAATTGCATTTTATTGCAGAAAATATATTTGCTTTTTGATAGAACAAAAAACGACATTAGCCCACCGCGAGGGTCGAACTCGCAGCCTTCAGATTATTATTGCCCACCAAAGGACTTCTTAAAAGTCTGACGCTCTATCCGATTGAGCTAGGCGGGCGTTGAGAAATATAAAAATAACACCGAATATTAGCCGCCAAACCCTCATCTTTACCGGTCTAGGTAATCACCATCCAAGTTCATGCTTGAGTAGAGGTACAACAACAATGTTACTTTCGGAGGATTCGCCCATTGTTGTCCAGCACCATTCGCAGAGAAAACATGGACTTTCTCCCAGTCTCACATCTCCAACAATAGCCCAAACAGCTGGTGCTTTAGAGCAGGCTGCGCACGTCTCCAGAACGGTAGGTTCTCGGCGCAGCGTAAGAGGATACCCAACGGAGGGATCGGAGCTGTGCCTCAGCCTGAACAGAAGGTCAGAAGAAGAGGTTGTATAATGCTATGGTCAACATACCTGATACTGTCGATCACCACGTAGTGTTCACAGTTGCCTTCGTGTAGCAGCCAATACGGTTCACTGACTGTCAAGGACAGAGTTTGCAGAAGAGTATCGTCCATGGTGTTTGGAGCACGCTTGAGCTCAACCGATGACTTGAAGGTCTGCGCGTGTTGTAAGAGTTTCCTGCAAAACCTGGTGAGGAAACTTTCCTTTTCAAAATCGAGGGCTTCTTACGACGCATAATCAGTCTCGCTCATGCCATCTCCGTAGACGAGGCCATTTATGCAGATAACAGTTCCATGAGTACCCTCCATTCGCTTGCTGGTGTCGTATCCGACCACACGAGAATCTTCGTGTTTCTCTGCAGGTAGTTCATTCGAAGGGCACGGTATGGCCTCAAAAAGGTCACCGAGAGTTTGAGAGGACATAATACAGTGCTGTGAACTCCGGGATACGAAGCTGGGCCGCCACGGGAGCTTGTTATAGACGCTATACGTGATCAGAGCTTGAGGGTCTTCCGACGGTAACGCCTCGTCATCTGTGCTCCTTTTCTATTGAAAACTTTGAGAGCGGTTTGGAAGGAGGTAGAGTTCTACCTACCACCTCGGCGTAAATATTGTGGTCCGAGTTCTTCGGTGCACGAATGAACAAGGAAGCTTCAATGGGCAGTCTATCGCATTCAGTCGAACTGAGAACACTGCAAACTACAGTTGTACTCACTTCCAGCTGCGCAGCTTCAGACTGTCGACCCTCGCCTGGATTTCTGCCTGGCACTCTGCATTCGAAGGAAATTCGTTGCCGCTTTTCTTACGAGGTCGTGCGGACTTCGAATTGCCGTACATGGTGGTCACTGTGGTTTCGTGGTCCTTTAAGATGTATGAAGACTTTCGCGTGTCATTCCAGACATCTAGGATTGATGACCGAATATCGTCAACGCTGCGTCGATAGGTTAGGGAAACGACGGGCAAGAGCAGAACGAACGTGCCTGCATTCCTCATTCAAGGCAGCGAGTGAATCCTCTGATTCCTCCGAGGGTACTTGTGCAGAGGCTATGGCCTTTGTCGCATCCTCGATAAACTTTGCTATGTCGATTGGTTTTGAGGATGGTCCGAACTGGGAGTTCAGTGAGTACGCGAGCCGTGCGTTCATGGGAAAAGGCAAAGCCAAGAAATAGTTTGTCACAACAATCATCAACAACGCGTACACGCTTTACCCTTCACAGTCAACAATCATTGTCTTCTGCACACCAAACGATGTCCACTCACATTGCCCTTCTACCAAATGGTGAGCGTTGGTTTCCGCAGATACTCATTTCAGGGATACTCAATTACCTTCTCAGATCTTTGGGATGTGTTGTCTTTGGGACCCTCAAGCCCTCCTCGCACCCCCATGAATTTCGTACGACTTCCACATCCTCGAACCGGTATCTCGTCTCTACTACCATTTTGGGTTCTTCTTATGTGATTGGATCTTGCACAGGTGTGCCTACGTTATTCCTACCCTCGAAGCACGCGCCTCGACAAGACGGAGATGATGGATTGGACCCTGAAGCAGATTGTGTATTGGAGATCCAACAAGTAACACCTCCGAACCCCAGGTCATGGTTCGTTGGAGACGAAGTTGTCTCTGGTGTGTAATCATATGTTCTATAATGAAATTCTGGAACTCACACAAAACTCATTCAGACGGAAAGCTGACGTTTCTTGCACCAGTCGACCCTGTGTTCTTGCTTATACACATGCTGCGATGCCTTCCGAAGGTATGAAATTAGCTATCTAGAAAGAAACACGCGAAAACCCGGGCTCCCTAGGACCAAATATCCCAGTTCAGGCCAGCCGACGATATCTTTGAAGACCTGGCATTAAAGTTGGAAGTATCTTCGGCGTCCAAAGAGCCATCATTACACGTACTCTCGAAAGACGTTCAGAGGTTCACTTCTTTGCGGTGCTGTAAGGACGCGTTGGATCGAATATGCGAGGTCGAACGTACGTAGCTCGCCGTGGTTGTATTCACCATGCTCACGACACCTTAGGCGTTGGCTCCGAAATCGTCGTCTACCGATTCTCACAAGAGAAAGCAGTTGCATACCTGCGGCAAAAGGTTGAACGATTGTCGAAGCCTGAGGTGATTGATTCGTCGCGCATCCTCACCCGAAACCTCGCGAAAGACGGTCTCATGGAGGATGAGAAAGAGGATATACTCGAAAGTATGTGGTTGTATGTCCTATTTTGACCCTCTCTTGACCATGTCACTTGAACAGTGGGACGCATGAAGTCAGCGTGCGACTTAGTTTCGCAGTATCTAACGCCCGACTTTCGTACTTTGTTGCTCGCATCTTATGACTTTGCAAAGCTGGACGAGTATCTGCAGAGGCTGGAGAACGAGAGGATGTGTGTCGATGTACCTGCAGCTGGCAATAAGAAGGTCAAAAAGGAAGGCACAGGTGATAAGCGCAAAAAGGGTGCCGCCAAAGCCTCATCCGGTGTCGAGAAGCTCAAAAAAGCTAACACGAACGGAATGGCGAAGCTCTCTACATTCTTTGCCAAAAAGACGTAGAAGACAATTATTGAGTATGATAGTGGTTGTACTGTAGCGGTTGAGTGGCTGTAACCAATACCCGTCTAATTCCACATCTTGTTCCTCGACCACCATCATCTCTCCTCACCACGGTTGGCACTTCAAGATGAGCAAGTCATACGTCGATCAAGCAGTTCAGACTGAACCTCCTCGCCATCTTTCTCGTTCAGAAGACCCCAAAGCTCTCAATGTCCATCCAAGCCATTCAAGTCAAGACGCATATAGTCACCCTCATCATACCAAAAAGCCCGCTCTCGGTTTCTTCAAGCCATCCGAGGCCAATCTGCCCGCCAAACGTATGGTCTCTCTACCAGAGTCGTCGCCTCCGTACAGGCTCAAGCCCACTGGTAGTGGTGAAAGGTTTCGCGCCTCCGTGTCAGAGACGACCGCCGTCAGGATTTGCACTTCAGCCGATACCTCCATCTCCTCAGAATGCTTTGAAACCTCGGTTTCCCTCGATTCTTCGCGCTCTTCTGCAGACGTTCATAATCATCGTCCTCACCACCGAAGCTCTCTTGCTAGTCTCGCTTTTCCGCGTACACCGTCGCCACCGTCCTCTCCAGAATCCTCGATCATGATCATCGGAAACAACGTCCAGGTTTCCAGCTCGTTCCTGGTCCCCAAGTCCAAGTCCAAAATCGGAACAACCGACGAGGAAGAAGGTATGACTCCCTGTATTCGTCTGCTATTGTGATGTGCTCACTGCCCTTTCCTGTATAGATTGGGAGGTATGGGCTAGTTCTCCACCTAGACCTATCCCTGCTTTGCACGGTCCTCTCTCGTTGCCCTACGCCCGGTGTCCATCGTGAGTACTTTTATCTTCAGTCAATCTTGTGGATGTTGAAGTATTGCGTAAATGTAGCGGAGCTGAAGGCACTCTGGTCGAAGGTGAAGACGTGTCTCGCATGATTTGGGGCCTTCGCGAGGACGAGCCACTTCCTCTTCCACCTAGGACAGAAGCAGCGGATTTAACATTCAATGCTACCAAGGGGTCCCACGACGTACCCTCTGCTCCTCCCAAGGTCAACCAGCCCATTCATCACCTCAGAACTCCGTCAAGCATTGCTTCAAGCTCTCCTGCGATATCTTTGGGTCGTGCACGCGAGTTCTCTCGACCATCTACTGGTCTTATCACTCCAAGAGACATCGACCTTCATTGGTATGGGTCCGATAACCATGATGACAGTCCTATCATCATTCCACCGACGCCTCAACAACTGCAAAACTTCCTAGAGCTTCACGGAATCTTTGACGAATCGCACATCAACAATGCTCCTCCGGAGGCAGGTCTGGGGTTGTTCTGGACAGGGAGAAAACCCGGCCGTCTTGAATATGACATTCCACCTCGATTGCAAGCATCTGCTCCCGTCTTTGTTCCCCACTCCCAGGTCATTGGGAAGAATCAAGATCCTCCCGTGGTCGCTGATACACCTAGCTACGCAGACTTTCCCAGGAGGCGCACAGTCTCTGCCGTCGACCTCGCTTGCCTCTTGCAACATCAGGCTCAGGGCTCGTTGCTTACTCCTCCCAGTTCTACACCCACGAAATGGACCCCGCGCTTTCCAGATCACATCGCACTATTGTCCGGTCCCAATGCTTATCATGCGACGACGGGGGACGAATTTGGAGAGGACGAGCTACCGGAGCCCCTTCCACTACATGCAGAGAACCTTTCTTTATACAATTGTACTTCGGAAGGGCCACGACGAGACGTACCTGCAGAGGACCCTGCCTGTATGCGCCTCGATCGAACCACCCCCTCAAGCTCTCATTCCCCAGCTTTGCCTGATCTGCGGTCATCTTCTGCGAACATGGCCATACCTCCCTCCCCTCAGTCGCCAGAAGTCAAGCTCAGCACTCGCACGCAACCACGTTCAGTCCCATTTGCGCGTCTTTTGCAGCGTCGACTCTCAGCCGTGCCGGAAGAGGACTCAAGCGTTCGTTTAGATTCCAATTCAAATGTTCTCAGCCCTCGTCCACCACAGACGCGGCGACCTGGTTTCCAGAACGGAGCGCAAGCTCCCAACAAACCGTACTTTGCCCAAGCGACCCACAATCTCCCCGATATCTCCAACAAGGTCCAG